TTTCGGTCGTGCACCTGTTGAGTAACCAGTCAGATGCCGCGTATCACCGGCAGGACATTAAAATGTCCCGAAAATCGTTTGGGAAATGAGCCGGAGTATTTGGCTTGTGTGGGCGTGGCAGGTGAAAAACGCACAAAAGTGATTTAGACAGCAGGGACCGACCGAATGAGCGACGCCTTCGCATCATCATGTCAGCCAGTCAGTTAAATGGAAGGGGGGGGTGAAAAAAGGGGTCGAAAGGTGGGAAAATGCCGATGGAAAAGCCTTCGAGTGGAGGCACCGGACCCTTTTCTCGTTTACGGAAAATTAATTAATGTGGCAACATGATTTAGTACTTGCCAGGTAAATAGGCGTTCCATAAATGTTAAAGGATTATTAGCTGACGGCACACGTGGCGTATGCGTAATTTGCTGTCGTCAACGTGCCAACTTTGTCGTTTTCTCTTTCGCTCCCAGTGTGGCACATCCGCTCGCACATTTTTGGAAGGCAACTTGAATTTCTGATGAATTGTTTATCTTCAAAAATGTACACAAAAACCGAGGGGCGTAATTAATTAGCCGGAAAATTACTTCCAATTCGAGTAACATTAGCTAATGTTGTTGTTGCCAACTTTGGTATTATACATATTTAAAGGGTGGGCAAAGTGTGTGAAGTGATTACTCAGTCGCTTTGCTAATTAAGCCGCACTTGAATGGCTGAAGGGCAGGACCCACCTACATAGAACTGACCGAAGTTATGAGCCAAATTCAATGGGATACTGGGTGGGAAAGCCACTTGGCTGAAAGGACGAAAGATATATAGCCAAAATGAAGCCGCATTAGGATTTCCATTTGGTCTATGGCTCAGTAATATCCCTTTCATTTATTTGAATCAATTATTATGTAACTCGTGTAATGTTTAATTATAACCTTATGCCTGTAGTGCCTCATCATCCAAGTTATGCATTCAACTGACTTGGAACTGCGCTCATGTGGCTCAATCAGCACGGAATTTAATCCCAAATTTATGATGCACTGCTAAAAAAAACCCAGTGTGCCAGGCACTGCACTTCCAACCAGTTCAAATGTTTCTTTCTTTTTGTTGTGTTTTATTTTTTAAAGTTTTCCATGCTCCTAAAGCGAAAGTCTTGATGAAAGCTGCATTCTTTTTACGCAGCCCAGGCAGCTATAATTGAATGATTTGAAGTTGCATTCTGCAGTGCACGTAGTGTACAAGAATCCTTGACGAAGACACTGGCAGGAGGCAAAATCCAGCTAGTGCGATGGCGGCGCACTCCATTTAATTTATGGCTCGCAGCAATGCGCCTGTCAAAATATGAGTGTCTGTGTGTGCAGTACTTGAGCTTGAGCGGCAATTTGTATGGCTCAGAGCTGGGGAAAAGCACTGCTACACAGCTACATGTGTTTCGCTCAGCACCAGAATCCGGCTAGACTAAGCCAGTAGCAGTGCCAGTACCAGGACCAGTACCAGCACCCGACTCATTACAATCATCCTCATCATCATCACCATCCCCATCAGGCCAGGCGTCTCTGTCAAATTGCTTAAATTTGGGGATGGATTTTTAGAGTGGAGCTGGGGGGAGGATTCAGGCTCCATAAGCTGCGAGGCAGCAGCAACTTTTCGCGGGCTGTTAAATTGAAGAATAATTCCGACTGCAGTTGCAGCTGCTATGAAATATGGCCAAAGCCAACGCATGTGGCAAGCATATGAAATTCGCAACAGCGCTCCAGACAAACGAAGCCAAGCAAAAATGTTGTATTTATGCAAAGAGCGGAATGAAAAATATTTTTTTTTTTTTTCCCCAGCCTTGACGTGCAACTGCGCCAAGACTCCTCGCCTGAGTTGTAAAACGAAAACGGACGGAGAACAGTACAAAACAGGATAAAAAAAAATACCAAATAAAAAAACAGGAAAAAATATAAATAAGAGCAGCCCTGGAGAAGAAAAAGGCAAATTGCAATACATCAAATGAGTCGTGGCTGTGGGGGAAAAAAGAGGGCTTAGTCGGGGTATGACAACTGCGACGGCTGCAGCCCTGACTTTATGATAAGAAACCAGAAAACAGACGAGCTCCGAGTGGCAGGAAAAGATGGGGCACGAAAATGCCAGCGTTTTCCAGATAGATGATGCATTCAAACAAAGTGCCGCCTGGCAAATTTATGATTAAAATCGCTGATGCATCACTGTTCCTGTTTAAAGGGTTGGGTGCAGGACTAAAGGACTACTCACATTTCACCCGCAGTGGCAACTGATTGCTGACCGTCTCGCCCTCGTCGTTTATGGCACTGCACGCATAGTTCCCGGCATAATGCTTCGTAATCTTCTGGAGCACCAGGCTCTGATTCGAGCGAATGACGCGGGCGGACGTATTGTGCTCCAGATGAATGCCCTGTAATCAAATGGTAACATTATGGTGAACTAGTATTGTATTATATAGTGGACTGGTTGAATCAATAACATGGCTACGCTGCTTAAATGGTTTTCCATGGTGTGTTCTGGCTATTTTCTGACAACTCTTTGCAGAGGGGCTCAAAGTAATTAGCACTCTGAAACAATATCTTAAAATATAAGAGGCTGTTGCTGGAGTTTCCGAGTCTGTAAGTCTATTAGCAAAACCGAACTAATGCAGTAATGGATTATTCAGCCAAAGTGCTGCCCAACAATAATCCGTTCTAAAGCCACTCGGGTTCGAATTTCAATTTGCCAAAATCCGCTAAGCGCATCCGAAAGGCAAAAATTCCACACACACACCCTGGTGCAAAACACACTTCCTCCCTGGGGAGAGGAAGTGGGTTGTTGGCCGTAGTTTGCCGTGGTAGTGACTGGGTGGGATGGGAACTTGGCCTGAGTGATTGCCAAGCGACTGCGGATTGCAGTTGAGCGACGGCAAAATCAATGCCGCAAATCCCAAAACTATTTTACCCAAAATGGCACCACCACCACCACCACCACCTATATAGCCCACAGCCGGGCCAAAGAAAACCACTAGAATGGAAATGAGCAAATGCAGATCCATGCATCAGGACATCGTCGGCGGTCGACACTAACGGAGGAGCAGCCACCTCAACGCATACGCAACCTGCCATGTTATTGGCACTTAACCAGAACCGAATGCAAGGAGCCAGCCAAGCAGACGCCTTTCAGGGATGCCACCCGTGGGCTGGGGATGGAGCCGGAGCCGGATCCAAGTGGATGGATGCCCGGGTAGGTGGCACTGCCCGGCTCACTCCTGGCCACTACTCGAACCCACTGCGACCTACATTATGCAACCACAACAGTTTCCGCCATTGAGGATTCGATTGTACGTGACACTCGAAGTAAACATCATCGCCTTCCTTGATATCATCCGGTGTCAAAGTTGAGCCCAGGCGCAGCGTCACCAGGGGAGGATCTGCAAAGGGGAGCAAGGGAGGAAGACAATTAGCCACTGGAAATCAAATAATAATATCCTTAGATGGTAATCTAGACTTGTACTTCGAACGGGTAAACACACTTTAGACAAAAAATACTTTGAAAATCAGTCATATAATATTTAACACTTATTTATATATCCTGCACAGAACATAGCCTTAGAAATACTAAATAAGTTTCGAAATAAAATATTAACTCAATGTCTTAAACCGAAATCTTTTGTTTTATTCATGCCCCCAAATTGTTGTGGCACACATTTTCCCGTTTTGCAACTGTCTTGTCATCGCCTGGAATCCCGCACACTGTCATGATCAAGCTTATTTAATAGTTTTTGCAAATATGAGCGATTTAGAGCAATAACTGGAACAAAGTGAAGCATCAGCCAAGAGTTATGAGGACATGGCAACGACAACCCGCCCATCGACCGCTGTTTGCGAACATGTGTTGCCGCTTAAGTCGTTTGAATTTGCTTAACGAGCCACAAACTTTGCGACAAACGGAGACCAGAAGCGGCAAGAACCCGGACCCAGACAAGGAGACCCAGTGCCTGGACTGGAACCGGGAACGGGAGCGGGACTAGGACCAGGGCCACGAGCAGGAGCAGGAGCAGGATCGGGGAAAAGGGGGACGCACGTGCCAACCTTAATATTGTTGAGTTATTGGCGGCCAAAACCAAACGTCGACAGTCAAGAGTTGGGCAAAACGGAACCCAAGACCAGACCCAAAACCAAACACCAAGCCAAAGCCAAAGCCAAGCCAAAAAGTTCCCTTCCGCCTTCCGCCTGGAAACTTTAGAATGGCCTGGAAAACTTTTGCCCAGCCCGTGTGCCGTTTCCCCGCCGCCCACTTATGTAGTCCTCCTTTGCCACAAGCCAGTCTGCCAATCAGGCAAAGTGCCCAAAGGGCTGTGAAAACTCTTTCGCTGGAAAAGTCGCGTCGCGCATTTCCGCACACATGTTGCAGGCCATTTTTGTGATTATCATTTACCGTTCCACCACGGATACCCTTGCCCCTTGCCCCTTGCCCCCTGACCCTTGCCACCGTCTTCCCTGCCGCAATCTTCCAGAGCCAGCAAACCCGTTCGTTTCCTTGGCCCAAAACGACCATCGATCGATGGCGAAACGGAAGTCAACGGTTGCTCAGAATTTATGTGCCATCGTGGGCTGTTGTGTTATGCCAACTGACTCACGGGATTTGCCACGGGCTGCAAATCTTAAAGATATTTTGGCTACGAAAGTCAAGAAAGTTCTTTCTACGATATTTGAATTGGTTGCAATACAATCAAAGGAGTACTTTTAAATTAGCGGCACATTCTTTTGGAAACATATTTGCATTCAAGTTCGACTTTTTCTTTCAAGCTAAAAAGGAAATAAAAACAAGTAAGCCCTGATTTTTTGTCCGATTAGTACTTAACCTAATAGGCTATGAGAAATTGGGAAAACTATAGTCGCTCGAAATAACACAATTTTCCTCAGTTGATGAGACTCCTTTCCCCAGTGCATATCGGCAATTGAAATAAATCGTAAAAATTAAAAAAAAAACGGAAAACGAATAAGTTTTCTAAAACCAGTGAGTGCGAAACTAACAAAATGCCTTGTACCAGAAGGTCGGCCAGTTCCCGACCACCACCTAACCAGGAGAACCAAGGGGCCCAGTTCAGACGTCGTCCCTATTCCCGCGCTAGGGCGACTCCATTGGACGAGGCCACCAATCGCGGCGCTTCGTATGCAGAAGGCAATACGAAATGCGAGACCAGTACGAATTCCAGAAATATTTCACAGAAGGGGCAAAAGCCACAGCTAATGACAGAAAGTGAGAAATTTGATCCGGGGCCGAATAGAAAACGGCAGGCAGCAGCCAGTGCTTCCAAAACCTCACTTCTGAACGCGTCAGCGGGCGGGCCAAATACCAAGGATGGCCCACAGGGTGTTAATTATAATAGGCCACTTCGAAATAATTCGCGTAGTACGACAAATAGTCAGTACTACACGGACGATGAACAAATGTTGCCTTCGCGTGCCAAATCAAACGTATCCAATCGTGCGAGATCCGTGCGTGAAAGTGCACCAAATAATGAAAATGTTGAACCGGATGAAAATAAAATTTTCAAGGTGCCGGAATGTTCCACCAATATGTTTTCGGCAAATCTTAAGCAGAGGACGTCAACGGCTCAAGAAAATCAAAATAAAGGTCAGAACCTAAATACACGCAAAGAAAGCTATGTTCCAACACATTTTGACAATAATGCTGCAAACTCTAGCCAAAATAATAGTGCCTGGTACTCGAAGTTGCCACAGCCCACTGCAGCAAGTATGCCGAAGAAGAAATTGGATCCGGAAACCTGCTACTTTTCGGAGTCGGAAGGAAACACGTATATATTAAGACGTCAGACTGAGAGGAATTTTTATTCCAAGCAAACCGGTTACCAATCGGAGACAGAAGGCACAAATGGCAGACTTATGCAGAATGCTAGAACTCAAGTCAACCCAAATGCACAAATACAATACACTTCCATGTACGGCCAGCCGGTGAATTTAGTTATGTCAGAGAAGGCCAACCAGCCCACTACAAAGATGGACATCGAACAAAATCTGCCGGCGAAGGTGGTGTACGTACATAAGCCGAGTGCAGATGCATCGCGTTATCATCCGGCTGAGTATAATCAGTTTAAGAAGCCAGAGCCGCCTCTTCCACCCACCAACTACACCTATCAGAGGGAAGAGGTCAGAAAGGAACCAAGTTACAGCTCCGTGCAGCAAAAGAAAAATCAGTTTGTAGATCAGCCGCCTATAAACAATCAAGCACAAACTAAAGCCGATCGTAATGTTTGGAGCAATGATATACGGCTTTTAGAAATACTTTCTCAAGCTAAGAAACAGCCAGCCAATAGAAGTTCCAACGATATTAGTAGCCCTAATGCCCAGAAAACCCATGATGCTGGTAACAAGGAGCAGGACGAGATCGACATACGCCTGAATGGTGAACTGGAATCTCTGTTTGCAACTAAAGAGCTGCCACGACCAGCTCCAACTCCACTGGCTAAGACTCCCACGGAGCTGAAGACAGTTGAAAGAGCACACACGCGGCCATTGAATGCCAAGAAAATGGAATCTGAAATTGATGCACGCCTCCAGGCGGAACTGGATTCCTTGCCCATGGTTGCGGCTGACGATACGAATGAATCCCCAAAGGAGACAGTATATAAAACTCATCCATACATCTCTGTGCCTACAGTCAAGTACTTGGCGGAGGATAAAGTACTTCTAAAACCGAATCCCGTGGGCATTTCTTCACAATCAGCAGCACCAACCAATTCAATGGCCAAAAATGCGATGGAAATGGGAAACGCAGGCGTTCAGTTGGTAAATAATCCGCTTGCTGCGCGTATTTCCATCGATCAGCAGCACAACTTGCAACAAGGACCGATAGTCACGCGACTTAAGAACTCACACGGTCAGGATATAGCCGTCAAATATACCACTGGTCCGAATGGATTAATCACCAATGTGCAAATGGTGCAACCAGCGATGGGAATTGGCCAACTGAAGGTGACCGAACTAGAGAGTTTCACGGCCAGCCAACTGCATCAGCTATTGCAGAGTGGTCATCCCTACATGGCCTTGCCCATGACATACTCGGGTTTTCCAGGTGCTATGCTACAGGATCCCTTGAAGACGAAAACACCCATATTTCCCCCGGAACAAGCGGTCGAGGATGAGGAGGTCGACTATGAGGAAATAGGCGTGGCGGACACCTTTGCAGCCTACTGGCCAAGCAAACTCAAGTTTGGTAGAGGCCATCCCGATGCCGTCGTGGAAACGGCCACTCTGTCATCCGTTGAGCTGCCCGATATAACCTACCAGCTGGCCCTGCCCTCGAAGACCACCGAGTGTTTGAGTGCCCTGCAGCTGGAGGCGGTGGTCTATGCCTGCCAGGCTCACGAGCAGATCCTGCCCAGCGGCGAGCGAGCTGGATTCCTGCTGGGCGATGGAGCTGGTGTGGGCAAGGGGCGCACCATTGCGGGCATCATTTTCGACAACTACGTGAAGGGACGAAAACGCGCCCTTTGGATCTCCGTCTCCAATGACCTCAAGTTCGATGCAGAGCGGGATCTCGCCGATATAGGAGCCCATGAAAAGATCCGTGTGGCGGCCATCAGCAAGTTTAAGTACAGCCGCATTGATTCCGAAGAAAATGAGAACTTCAGGCGCGGTGTGATATTCTGCACTTACACAGCTTTGATTGGAGAATCGCTGACGGCCAACTCGAAGTACAAGACTCGTCTGCGCCAGTTGGTCCATTGGCTTGGCAAAAAGTTCGAAGGCGTGATCGTCTTCGATGAGTGCCACAAGGCCAAGAACCTTAGCCTGATGAATGTTGGCAAGTCCACCAAGACGGGCACGACTGTTCTGGAGCTGCAGAAACTGTTGCCAAAAGCCAGAGTGGTCTATGCCTCGGCCACAGGAGCAAGTGAGCCCCGGAACATGGCCTATATGGTGAGACTGGGCCTATGGGGTCCAGGTACCGCCTATCCAGAGTTCTACGAATTTGTGAACGCCGTCGAGAAGCGCGGCATTGGAGCCATGGAAATCGTAGCCATGGATATGAAGCTCAGAGGTACCTACATAGCTCGTCAGCTGAGCTTCAAGGATGTGAGTTTTCGCATTGAGGAGGTGACCATGCCAAAGGAGTTTCGCAAGAGCTATAACCTGGCTGCCGAACTCTGGGCGGAGATAAACAAGAAGTTCCAGAAGGCCTGTCGCCTGATGTGCATCGAGAATAGGGTGCAGAAGATAATAACCTGCCAATTCTGGTGCGCCCATCAGCGTTTCTTCAAGAACCTGTGCATCGCCTCCAAAGTGAATCATGTGGTCAAGATGACGCGGCAAGCCACTCGAATGGGCAAGGCGGTGGTCATTGGCCTTCAATCGACAGGGGAATCGCGCACACTGGAGCACCTAGAACGTCATCATGGAAAGCTGGTCACCTTTGTCTCCACCTCCAAGATGATCATCCAGTCGTTCGTGGAGAAGCACTTCCCAGCACCCAAGCGCGACTCGTTTCACCATCTGCTGAATACGGGTGAATTCGAGCCGGAGGCACGTTGCCGCCCATCTAGACCTAAGAGGTCCAAAATGAATCCCGATTGGTTCGACGACGATATGGACGCCGAGGCGGGCGAGAGCGACATCGAGATGTACGAGAGCAGTTGGACTGCGGATGAAGAGCGTATCAAATCCGGACGAAAGCGTCGCGGACGACCGCCGAAGGCAGACAAAGGTATGTGGATTTAGAATAATTGATTATGATTATTATAATTATGCCTCGAAACAGTGGAGAAGATAACCATGCAGGAGCGCATTCTGCAGCATCTGTGCAGCAATATGCGGGCCCAGGATAACGAAGGCGAGCCCAGCTACACCTTCGACAATACCAAGCCCCAGAAGGCAAATATCACGGAGCGGGATGTGGAACGCTGCATCAATATGCGTGAAATGCTGCTGGAGAAAATCGAGATTCTGGGCAAGAGATTGCCGCCCAACACGCTGGACAAACTAATCTCCGAACTGGGTGGCACCAACTTGGTGGCAGAGATGACGGGCCGCCGCGGCAGAGTGGTGCGCTCCGAGTACGATGGCTACAAGTATGAGCCGCGCTGCGAGAACGACTCCTCAATGGACCTGGTCAATTATCGCGAGAAGCAGCGCTTCATGGATGGCAGCAAGCACGTCGCCATCATTTCGGAGGCGGCCTCCAGTGGAATATCCTTACAGAGTGACAAGCGGGTTTCCAATCAGCGGCGTCGTCTGCACATCACTTTGGAACTGCCATGGAGCGCGGATAGGGCCATCCAACAATTTGGCCGCACCCATCGCTCCAACCAGGTGAACTCGCCCGAGTACGTATTTGTGATCACGGATCTGGCCGGTGAACGCCGGTTCGCCTCCACGGTGGCCAAGAGGCTGGAGAGCCTGGGTGCCCTTACCCAAGGCGACCGTCGTGCCACCGATGCCCGCGACCTCTCCCAGTTCAATATCGACAATAGCATCGGTCGCAGTGCCCTGGAGAATGTGATGCAACTTCTGACCAGCGATAAGCCACTGGACCAGTCTCAAGTGCCACAATCCTACAAGGGTGACTTCCTCTACGACTGCTGTGTGGCAATGGCCGGCGTGGGTATGATCAATGTGCGGGAGGAGAACAAGGTCAAGGTGTTCAGCGTGGAGAAGGATAGTAATAATATATCCAAGTTCCTAAACCGCATCCTTGGCTGCCGTGTGGAGGTGCAGAATGCGCTATTTAAATTCTTTCTGGACAAGATGTACTCACTGATCATGCAAATGAAGCGCACAGGCCGCTTTGATCTGGGTATACTCGACCTGGATGCCCATGGGGCCAGTGTTAAATCCATCAAGCTGATGAGATTCATCAGGAATCACGCCACTGGAACGGCGGCCACCGAACTCCACACGGTGACAGTGGAACGTGGCATGTCATTTGAGACGGCACTTGCCAAGTAAGTTGAGCTTGACATGGGTACCAATTATTTCGCTAACCCCTAAAACACCAATAGATACCGAAAGGAGGTCCAGCACGAGCACGAAGGCTTCTATATTCTACAGCAGCTGCGCCAAAACAAGAACTCCTCAATTCTGTGCCTGCAGGCGCCGTCCAATTCATCGGATGTATCGAAGATCAATTTGCAAATCTACCGACCCAATACAGGTCCCCAAGTGCGTCTGGAGACGCACGGCTCCATCTCATCGCGCTATGTGAAGGTCAGCCCGGAAGAGGCCCAAAAATACTGGGTACAGCAGTACGACCTGTGCTTGAATATGTGCTCCCACGTCTACTGGAATCGCACCTGTCCCATGCCGACGGGCTGTGAGGTGGGACTCCGGATGCGCACCTACCATGTGCTCTCCGGATTGATGCTACCGATTTGGGACCGAATCGAGCTGATTATCGTCAAGAACGGACACAAGATCCAGATCATACGCGTGAAGACCGATGTGAACAAGAAGATTGTGGGTACGGTGGTGCCGCATGCCGTCTACGATGCCCTGGTGGCCGATTTGTCCACGGATTCCATTGTGGAGATACATTAAAATGACACCGCCCACTGCACGATGCCGCACACAGCACTTCTATTGCCACTTTAAAAATATCAACCCAAATTGTGGCATTCAATGCAATACATGTGGCGTAAGCTTTCGCTTTTTCTAAATTCCAGGCACGCTCCACCAGCTCCACCAGCTCCACCCAGGAGGAGCAATCCGCCCATGTTCCCGGCCATAAACAATGGCCACAGAAGCACATACGGGAAGACACTTACAGCTCGTCTGCGTGCGTATGTGATTCATATGTATTGTCTGTATGCTGCGGGGTCTGCCTCGCATACACTAAACAAAAAGATACAAAAAAAACACACAAATTTTTTTTTTTTTTTAAGATTTGGATATGTTTTGGTTATACAAGTATTAAGCAATTTTCAAAGCTGTCAATTGCAGACCATAGAACGGCATACATATTCCCAAAATCTGATTATAAATAAAACTACTTTGTATTTTATTTTGCCGCAGTGCCGTTTCCTTTCCAATCCTGCGCTCTTTGGGGAAGTCTGTGATTGCATTCCATGTTTTGTCTTGTTTCCATTGCTAGGAGACCAACTAAGGCTGCCCCGCTCGGTTACATTATAAATTTTAAAACGAGCCACTCGCTTGCACCATGCCGCACATGCGAGATATAAACAAAATTATACAAAGGCGGGGCATGAGATGGGCAACGCGTGGCATAAACCATGACCAAATGGCCTTGGCAAATGTCGTGCCTAAGGAGCCAAAACGCAGTTGGCATAATAACTCACGCGTGATGCAGATATCGTATTCCAACAGCACTGGCTACAAAAACACAGACATAAAGATGCCTAGGCATATAAATTCAGTCGTTATCTAAATAAGAACAAACTGGAATTTATCTGCTCATGTGTGCGGATGGAACTCTAATGAAGTTATGGCAAGTATTTAAAATATTTAATAATTTCAAGAGGAGCTTTACAATACTTAATTTTCCTTAAGTTTCTTTGTGGAATTAATTTTTATTATTATTATTTACGAACACACTCCGAAAACCTTTTTTCTAACGATACCATGTGGCCTTATATTACCATTTGATTTATCTTTTGGTGTACATCAAAGTCTAAGATACATGTGTGAATTTAAAGATATATTCGTGAGATTTCGCGAGCCTGCCCCAACAGCAGAATTTTTTCCAAAACACAAACATTTGGGCGCACATTTATGTGTATATGGCTACGTGCCGATCATAAAGTTTATTTGCGCCAACGTAGCAACAAACACAACACCGTCAATTGCCTTAACGTGAGCAAAAACAAACAAATAAAAAATAATATTCTAAAACATAAAATATGAGCCTGCAAAGTATGTGTGGGGCATAAAAAATATAATCATATTACGCCTATACACACATCCATATGCAAAAACACACAAGCGAATACTTTTTTTTTGGGGCGTAACCGAAACTGTTCCGCGGAGGCGTGGCAACCTCTTTCAGATTGAAGTAAAGAAAATATTCATATTTTAAGAAATGAAAAGCAAGGAAATGCTATTACGTGATGCCCTTGTGATGCCAAAAAAAGGAACGGAAAGGAGGACGAAAATGTTGACTGTGGCATACATGGCGTATACGGAACGCCATTGAGTTCGATTCGTTTTCCCCATCCGACACTTTTGTTTCACACTTTACGATGTCCGCAGTACTTTCCAGTTGTGTTTTTCGATGCTGTGGAATACGAATTAAAGTGGCTTAAAGTGGAAATTACAATTATTGGGAGATTTCGTTCAGCCTGCAGGTGAAATCCGTGGGCGGTAAAACCATTTCGGGCCCAGTTTCGGATTCCCACTTTAGGTCTACTTTGCAAAAGTTATTTTTTATTTATTTTTATTGAAACGGGGCCACAGGTAAAGTCCTTCATTTAATTTAAGCGACTGCCATACATTTTGTTAGCCCACATATTTCATTTGAGCCAGTGGAACCCCTCCTGGCCACCACGAACGCTACAGTGTTTTGGCCCTTTGGCAAATTATTCACAATTTGTCATTTGTCTTTGATTTATTTGCATTTTAAAGGCTTTCAACGGCAGCGATAGCGATGGCGACATCGCCGCCGTAATAAATTTCGGCCCGGTCTTGTTCGGAGCCCAGGACTGTCTACCTTTTGGTAGCTGTCGGCAATGCCCTTTCTTGCCCCTCATCCGGCTTTCATTCCTACGCTTTTGGCTTCTTCGGTTTTTGCCCAGCGCTTCCTTTTCTTTGGGGGGGAAAGCCTTCATTTGCCACATCCATTTCACTCATACTTTAGACTTAAGCACAATTTGTAATACTTACAAACGACATTCAATTTCCACATGGTCTCCAAATACAGGCCATTCACATTTGGATTTTCCGCACGGCATGTTATCGATTTGCCATCGTCGTCTGTGGTCGGCACAAAGCTCAGCTCGGAGCGTGTCGAGTTCTTTGATATGTCGTCCTGCAAAAAAAAAAGAAAAGGAAAATAAGGGAAATCACAAAAAATATAAGAAAATGTTGCTGCATTAATTAAGTTTTACCGCCAGCCAATGCCTAAGACCCTGGCTCAGACCTTGCCTTGAGGCAAAAGTTTGGTCTCCTTCGGTTTTTTGCGTGCAAATTTGTTGAAATATTTTATGTTTGCAATTTAAAATTTATTGGAATGTTTGTTCGGGTTTTATGTGTGTGCGCCACGTGTGTGGGTGTCTGCATGAGTGTTCTCTGTGTGTGTTCTCTCGGGGTATTATAAATTTAATGGCAGACAGGGACACCAACAAAAGGCGTCACACAATTAGTCGATGCTCCGCCCGCCGCCCTTTAGTTGGTATGGCCATAAAGTGTTTTTCCCCCATTCCTCGCCATGTGGCTCGCTTTGTTAGCACTTTGCACATGGCTAAAATCGCTCCAAGGCAAGGCATTTGCCAGATATGTGATTTGGTGTTCGGGTTATGTGGTGTTCGGGCTGGGGTGTTAAAGTGCTGACAGTTAGCGGGAATATAAATCCTTGCCTTTAGGGGGCGAAATATGATCGATTGGATTTAATTTGAAACGATTTGGGGTCACTTTTGCGGGGATAAGAACTATAAGAAATACAACAAATGTAACCAAAGCCTAATGGCCCGAATTGAGCATCCAATACCATTCAAATAAAAAAAACTTGGCTTAACTTTTTAATTGAGCCTTTTTGGGCATAGTCAGTAAATAGGGTTTTTTTGGTTGCTAACGGCGTTTTGAGAACCTCCACAAGCCGTATCAGTGTAATATTTAAAAAATTTCCATTTTGCAACATGCTCGTTGCCTGCTGCACAGGCTATTTCCATTCATGGGCCAAACTTCTCAATTAGACCGTCTGCGGAGCTTTGATTAATGCCTGAGGCATCCACAGCTAAAACACTCCGCCTGAGCCCACCCACAACCTGGCAAAGGGGAGCAGACACAGACATATATTAGAAACCCCAAAGTAGGGTACGAAAAGGCATGTAAAACATGTGGGATGGCAGGACCGAGGACATCGGACGGCGCGGTATTGGCAGGGGGTGTGGGTTTGGGACCTGTGCCGCATTACGGCAACTTTATGCTACATGAAAACTACTGAAAAACATTTCCGGTCTTTAAAACATTGGCTGGCTGGCCCAGGAGCTGGCCCAGTAGCTGGCCAAAACGGCAAAGCAATCAGCGTGTATGCATATAAGCGGATAGACATGGACATAAACAACGGCCCAGACCGTAGAGGCCCGGGTTAGGATATGGCTAACCAGGACTCGACTCAGCTCGAGGTTCCGACACACAAAAATGAATTGCAACAAAATTGCGCCAAAACTCCCATAAATTTGTCGAAAGTTGAAGAGAAAAAAAGCAGGGAAGGAAAACAACAAACAGAAAACTCCTACACAGCTCTAATGTTTGCGAATACCCTACAAATGCGTTTGATTCTGTAAGCTGAAGGGCTAGATATATGTTTCCTTAAAAAAAAGTGCCAAATATATAATTTCTATAAAAAAAATTTCTATGTTTCTATAAAAAAAGGTGCTAACTATATGTTCCTTAAAAAAAAAAGTGCTAAATATATGTTTCTTTTTAAAAAAAGTTGTTTTGTATGTACATGCCAAATCTAATTGAGGAATAAATAAAAAATAAAAGACACTAGATATGCAAATTTTCTGAATTTATTTAACTACCAGGAGATTTATACCATTTAACCAGCTTGGAAAACTTGGAAGCAACTCTTCTCTTTAGAGAAAAATCACTATGAAAACTAGGCTGAAACCTGAACCAGTTCAGTTGGCCGGACTGCAAGTCGTTGAAAGGGTACAAACAAAATAAAAAAAGTAAAGCAAAAGTGGGTGGGCCAAAGCAGAATGCAAAGCGGACTAGAATCGTTTGTGTATTGTCGAGTTTATATCACATTATCTGTGTTTATTCTAACCAAGTTGTGGGGCTGCCTTGGCTGGGGGCACAGGACTAGGACCCAGCTGCGAGTGTGAACCACGCCCAGGGACAACAAGTGGGTGGTGGGCGGTGGGTGGTGAGTAGTTCAGTTTCAGTTGCTGGTTCAGTTTCTGGTTCTGTCTGTATCTGCACTATGGCCATCCAACTGAGGACTGCGGACTGTGGACTGGGCACGTGGGTGGGTCAGGAGTTACGAGCTCCGTTTGTTTGGCATGACTGTGCAAACACAATAAGTTATCGAGCTGAACGTGAGTCAGTCAACAGCAGCATGGAACCGGCGGCAGAGACAGAAGCAGCCAACTAGCTGCGTCAATTGCGGTCACTCCACTCCATGGAGAGCCCCTCCACAGCTATTTATACAAATATATATATATACATATATATACTTCCACTCACCTTTGTGCGTCGTAATTGCCGCTTTCCCTTGTACCAGGTGATGATGGCATTTGGCCGAGAGCCGGAGGATTCGCAGGACACCTCGTAGCGGCGATCGGCAATCATCGAGCTGGGCGGCTCCAGGATTTTCACAACCAAAGGCTTCACTGCAATGGGACGGGAAGAACATTCGATTCAATGCAATTGTAATTAAAACTGTTTACCATAATATTTCATGGTCTCATAATTGCAGTTCGTTTTGTAAGGCAATCATTTTGGACACCCCCCTGCCGTTTACTCAGCACAATGGTAGGGCTGTGTGCTTGTGCCACACAG